TGGAACACGTATGAAGTACAAATAAATGTTATCTGTGTCTGTGTCTAGCAAATAGCTAACCAGAAGGTTGTTATTTCCTCCTTGAGAGCGAGGTCTTTGTGTAAAATTTCAATAAAAGAGAGCTTACGATTCTACTCGAGGTTCTCACTTTTGCAGACAGCCCTGTGTCTTGTGTTTCATGGGAACCGGATCACTACAACACTCCTGCCAAATGCCACTACAGAGAATTTCAGGCTCCCTTGTGGAGAGCTTAACAATAATGATCACAAGACATGATGATGTCAAATGATTGTTTTGCACAAATGGCACAATTATTTAACAACATCTGAGATGCAAGCCAGAACATTTCCTTGCTGTTTTTCACTCACCGGGAATGCCCATGTTATAGTGGAAAGAAGGAAACTAAAGACTATTGGATTATTGAAGATAAATAGTTGTTCTTTCAATCTTACCTCACAAATATATTCACTAGATACTTAGGAAATGAAAAGAGAAATTTGAAGTGATGGCCAATTGTATTTTGAAACACAGCACAGCACCTCTATGTTGTTCATTACATTTCCCTTTTCAACTTTCTATGTAAGCCTAGAAAAATATGTAGCTCCTTTAACAGTAGTAGTAATTCTTAAATAAAAGTTAGGCTCAGCTGGTATAAAATGGTGCAAATATAATTGGCCAGCCTGTTGTCATTATACGGTAGCATGTGAACTAGAATAGAGAAGGTAAATGTGCTTTGGATCCAGTGCAGGTACTTTTTTGGTATTGTTTGCAGCTGTTTAAAAAAAACATGGTTTTTCCTGAGTTTGCGCCATATTGTAGCAATGTGAGGGCTTCAGAAAATATATCATTTGCAGAAATGATGTAATAACAGGATAGAATATATGGTAGCATCCTATCTCTGCCTGATTCAAGCCTCCTGGACAAACTATATATATATCACTATTAATTTTGAATTCTACCATTTAAGCCTCTATTTCCACTTAGGGCTAAAAATGAAAGGATATTCAACACTACCCACCGGTTTGATGCTAAGCTGGTCACCAACTATTTTCAGAGTAGCATGCTTCCTGGAAACTTTTTTATCTGTAACCTGGAAATAGACAATTCAATTATTTTTCAGCAGTTAATATGATGGGAATAATTTTTGTATAATAAATTATTGTATAAATTATTGTATAAATAAGCTATTTCCTTCAAAGATAAACTGTTTTGTTTTACCTATTATTAAAATGAAAATACTGCTCATCCTGTTTACACACAATAAAATATGCATGGCAACTCATGTCAAATACAGATTAAGCTATCCAATTAAGAACTAAAGAGCTAATTTAAATACATATTCATATTAAGGCACAGAGAAAGGAGAAAAACAAAAGAGCATCTCCATTTACTTTCTAAATCTATATTCACTATCTGGAAAATAGACAGCGAAAAGCAACTAACTAAAAACAGAGCTCTTCCACCTGAACAGCATTACAGAATGGGAGCTTCAGAAGGTAGATATAATCATGCAAGCAATATCTAAGTAAATTCATATTAAAGATACAGAAACCTTGTCCTTTTTGGTATGTATCCATCATGGCTAATAGGTCAAAATACAAGCATGAAAGGCCATTATTCCTTAAATCATTTCAACTGTGATCCAGAAAAACTGCATACAAAAGTAATACCATATAACAAATTGCCTTGTAGTTTCTTTTATTGTGGTCATCAACTTAGAAGATTTACACAGCTCTGAATAATTGGAAAAGCCCTTATTAAACTAAAAAGAGAATTGAGAACATAATTATAATTTCAAGTATGTAATAATACATAACTATAATATACAATATGCCTTCAATTAATTGTGGGGGTTCCTTCACAGAACTTGAATATTGTGACCTCTAGTGGACAATACAATATCTATACTCAAATCAAATATATAGCGTATTACGGTATTAGTGTGATAATCTTCTTTCAACTATTGAAAGTAAATAATCTGCAAATTAGAAAGCACAATCACAATGAGGTTGATGAAATAAAAAATTGACCAAAGCAACATTATTTTTAAAGAAAATGTTATAACTTTCAGAAACAACTTGAAAATTGGAATTTTATTCCAATGATAAAAAAAAGCTGGTTATTTGAGATTTCGTGGTTATCCATCTGTATTTATTGCTTATATTGGCTTTTCTTTTTGCATTTTACATATTTATATGCCTTTAAATGTATTTGTATGAGAAATACTGTTTTTCTTGAAATTATAATGAATATATGTATGGTTCTGGACTCAAAAAGAGGTTCCAACCTTGAATTAGTATGCTAAAGCAGGGGTCCCCAACCTGCAATCCATGGACCAGTATCAGCCATGGCATGCCAGCAACTGGTCCGCAAACAAAGCCCCATCTGTGAGATGCAGGCAGCACACAAAACCACACACTCTGGTCTGCGGAAAAACTTCTCTCCAAGGAACCAGTCCCTGGTGCCCAAATGGTTGGGGACCTCTGTGCTAAAGGATGCCATAAGAACTAATTCAAAGAGAATGAAACAAAAGGCTTCTGGTGGAAGACTGTGTGAAAAGCAGAGCTGATGGAGGCAGAATGAAGAGACAGCAAGTCTCTTTGATAATTCCTCTCCAGAGCCTAGTAAGTTCTTCAGACAGCTGTTCTTCACAAGGAGACAACAAGATAGGGTCTCCTGCTGGTTCAGAGCTCTAGGAGATGAAGTAATAGCCATCTTGCTCAAACCCAGTCTGTGGTTTTGAAAGGACACTATTTTTAAATTTTTACTTTTTGT